TTAATCCCATTTGCATGGCCTAAAGGTTTTCAGATGCTGCTTTGCCTCTAATGGTTTCCATCCTGCCTGATTAAAGGTTTCTTTTGAAATAATCCATTTAAAGAGTCTTTACTTTCTCAAATTAGGAGAGGAGTCATTACATTTGTCAAGGTTCCGAGTAATGTACCATTGAAATCAGAACCCCAAGGCTGGTAGATTCTTCACATAACATGTTTATTGGATATATCATATCAGCATACCTCGTGAAAACCAACTCTGAAAGTTCCAGCGGTTTTTACATAATTAAAAGAATAAATCTTCCCCCCTCCCTAGTGTCATCAGTCATTATCCAATGAATATAGCTGTCGGGCTTCTCTCTTCCTTCACCAGCCATCTGTTACAATGACAGGAAAACTTTTATTTTGACTGTAAGCTGGGCTATCTACTTCCCTCCTCCCCTTCTTTCTCAGGTTTCGTGGCAACTGTGTGACAACACAAGATGGCCTCACCCAGGGAGACAGATTGGAATAGTGGGCTCCAAGTAGTACCATGAAATCCAGGGCTGACAAACAGTTGCCGGGGGGGTGTGTGTGTCTTCAGACTGGAACCTTCTTGTAAAGAAGGTGATGAAAGAGCTGTATCTCGAGCGGCCAAGAGGAACTAAACTGGTTCCTCAAAGGCCAGAGACTAGCTCTCTGATCAGGCAGCAGGGGCAGCAGGCATTGTAAAATGTCTGCCACAAAGTCGGGTCAACTGGGGTAAGCATGAGTGCAGGAGCGATGGCTGGCTGAAGTGTCGCGACTGGCTGAGAAGATTTAAAACTCACTAATACAATAAGCATGAAGTTGGAATCGGGAGATAGTTCGAGCGTAAAATAGCGTAAACTGATAAATTGGGAACTGCGTGGAAAAAGGAAGAGGAAAGGGAAAAATGATGGTGGTTTAAAACATCGAAGCCCAAAGAGAAGGTTGTCTTTTTGTAGCTTGGGAGGCGGAACTGAAAGAAGGACTAGATACCTTACTGATATATTCTGTTGAATTTGAAACCTGGAAAGACCTTGCTTCTAATAGCGGTTAATTGATAAACTAAACTCCATGGAAACCTCATGGAAAGAGCAGGGGGGGGGACTGTAGCTAAAATAGCACGATGAAGGGGAATGGTTTTGTTTTAACAATCTTTGAAACCGAAGAAGAAACCTTGCCTCTCCTTTTTTATAATGTATTTTTCAAAGTATAAGACGCACCTTTTTTCCTCAAAAAAGAGGCTGAAAATCTGGGCGTGTCTTATACATGTAAAACAGCATTATTTTGCCTCCTGAAGCCCCACCCCCTTCACCAAAATGGCTGTGCATGCCCTTATGGAGGCTTTCAGAGAGCTCCTGGGGCTGGGGAGGGCAGAAATGAGCAAAAAATGGGCCATTCCCCTTCCCGCACCCTTCTATAAGCCTCCATAAGGCTATGCATGCAATTCTTTTGACAAAAAACGGCTCAATTTTCATTAAAAAAATGGGCCGTTTTTTGCTCGTTTGTGCCCCCCCACTCCTCCAGAAGCACTCTGCAAGCCCCCCCCCCGAAGGGTATTCATGCCTTTTTAATGAAAAAAAACAGGCCCATTTTCGCAAAGTGCAAAACACCCTTCCCCCATTTTGGAAAGCTCCTTAACTGATTGATGAGAATTACATTGATCAAGTGCTGTGCCGGTTCCACCACAAAAGCGCGTAGGACAAAATCGCGCTCGACAAAAGCGCGCTGTG